TGTATGTGTGTGTGTGTGTGTGTGTGTGTGTGTGTGTGTGTGTGTTGTGTAACCCAGAGCCATAAAGAGAATGGTATCTGGATGACGGCATCGATAGCCTGATGACCATCGTCAGAGAAGGGGTGGACCTAAAGCTCTTTCTGCTTTAGAGATTGCACTGTTAGAGATCCATCACTTCCTGAAACACAGATCAAAGCACATGGATTTCAGGAAAAAGTATATCCTGTTGCCTTGTAAAGTATTTAACAAGATTGAGTTGTTGGGTCTGCAATCTGCATAAGTATATAACCGGTTTAACAATTTTTGTCTCTGTGTTATGCTTGCTAAATGTACCGTGTTTATCCAAACTCAATAGGTGAGAATGGTCACTGGTGATAGTATTCAGACTGCTAAAGCTATAGCTCTGGAATGTGGAATACTTGAGTCAAATTCAGATGCTAGTGAGCCAAATGTGATAGAAGGGAAAGTCTTCCGTGCATTATCTGAGTCTGTTAGACAAGAAATTTCTGAGAAGATATCTGTACGTTCTGTTATGCTTTAACTGAACAATCCATTTTGAATATGGCACTTTCTGATTCCGTTTCATGTATTTGATCTATAGGTCATGGGAAGGTCATCTCCAAATGACAAACTCTTACTCGTGCAAGCATTGAGGAAGAATGGGCATGTTGTCGCTGTAACTGGAGATGGCACTAATGATGCTCCTGCGCTACATGAGGTATGTTAAAACAAGAAGATGGCTGATGAATATGAGAGTGTTCAATCCTGTTATTTAACATGCTGTATTTGTACTATAATCCAGTACCCTACTCAGTCGGCCTACTGTTTCTACCATCCTTGGGAAACAAAAAATGGAGACATCCGTTTGATCCTTTAATAAACTTGGTTTCCTATGTACCATGATCATGCAATGTGAAACATCATTGTCCATTTTCTCCATTTTCTTTTCGTTCTATGTATTTAATTTTTCTTACCGATTGAGGTATTTTTCCTCCAAAAGAACTCATGAATGCTTCCACTCTCTGTAGGCTGATATTGGTCTTGCAATGGGTATTCAAGGTACTGAGGTTGCCAAGGAAAGCTCGGACATCATCATATTGGATGACAATTTTGCTTCGGTTGTAAAGGTTTGTGAACCTCTGTTCCGTACTTTATTATTCTTCCTAAATCATTTCTTGAAAGACTGTTGGAGAGCTATGCTTATGTAATAGGGGTTGCCTCACTTGCATGTAGGTAAATTAAATTGGAATTTTAATTTTAATTTTATGTTATTTCTTTTACGGGCCATATTATGTGCTCTTTTTGTTTGTAGCAGAAAGTAGAACCTTGAAGGGAAAATGGGCCCACTACATCGATTCTTACACAATTGGGCTCACAAAACACATAAGGTGTATGAAAGTATATATAAAAAAGGTTAATATAAATTTAAAACTACTCCTAACGTCCCATATTTGATTCCACTCTTCGAACCATGTAGAAAACCACTTGTCTTTTTAATTCACTTTATTTAAAAGTTGGTGTATAAATAAAAAACACAACGTATTAAAAAACTACTTGCAAAAGTTTTGCGAAACTAGATATGACAAGAATGTTTTATTTTATCAAATAATCTATGGAAACATATAAGTAGACAAGTTTTTGAAAGGAAGAAATAAAACAAGGTAATCAATTGTGGGACGGAAGGAGTAGTTCTTAATGAGAATATTATTTTATAAAAACGTAAAGTACTTTTAAAAAAAGAATTAATACAACCAACATTCAGAAAATTGATTATTTTTTTCTCTGTGGAAATATTTTTGAGTTTTGGTTTGCAACTTAGCATGTCTTCCATAAGTAGTTTTCATACTTAAAAGGATCCTTTATTCATGTAAGTTGTCCAAACTCGTTTCTGTATTCACGAGAAAAGTCTTTTACTCCCTCCGTCCCTGAGTGTTTGTCCACTTTCATTTTTGCACACCATCCAATGCACTTCTTTAATCCATTTTATCTTGTAATTTGTAGATTAAAAAATTATAAAAATTATATATTAATAATCTATATGTTAAGACGAATCAAACAAGATCACACATGACTATTTTTAGGCTTACACATTGAGAGAATTTGATGAGTCAAAGTGCTTAGATGAACAATTTCAAAAGTCAAAAGTGGACAAACACTCAGGGACGGACCAAGTAACATTTTTGGCAAGTTTTTGTAGTAGAGAAGTGATATCCTTACGTCCCACATTTAGGAAGATGTCTCAAGGTTGTAAGTTCTATTTAACATAAGAAGTTTATAATATTTTGTGATGGGCTAAACAAGAATGAACTATAGATAAAGTAGAATAAAGGGATTGCCACCATTGATAGGGAGCGGTTGCAGCTCTTGAAATTCCCAAAAATTGAACTAACAATGCTCTTTCGTGTTAGTTAGCTATTACTTGATTTTATAGTCTAGTAACTTCATTTGATTGAATGTTTATTGCCTCTACCATTTATTGCATTTGTTTGTTTCTTTTTCTTTCTCAATGTAAGGACTTTGTCTATTAACTTCAAGTTTGGGTTTCTGTATTGTATCTCTAGTCTCAAAGATTGGATCTTAATTCTTCACTTAAACCAATTTTTTTGGTAAGCTTTAGCTTACCTACCAACATAACACCTTGCTTTTTAAGAATTATGTCTCATGGTAGCATTAATTTTTCTACATTTCTTCTTCTTCATTAAACGTCCTTTGTCTTTTGTACGGTGATTGCTTCATAGTTACATAGTTTGCTATTTCTTTGGTTTTTTTATGGTATTTCTTAATAGTTGTAATATTTGGTAATTTGATTGCACCTACGTTTTAGTTGAAACATTTGGTAATTTGAGAATAATTTCTAAATTTTAGCATGTAGAATTTTTTTATAATTGGTTGAGGCAAAGTTGATAAATATTTTGCATGATTATGTGTTGTAATTTTTAATGCAGAGTAAAATATACATGAAAATTGAAGTATGTCTATGGACCAGTCTAAGTATGTCTATGACAAATTCAAGCATGTTTATTAAATTAAAATGCCTATGAAAAAATTAAAATATCCCTATATATAGAAATAATGTTGTTTCACGTTTCCAATTTGTGTTTTGGTGCGACTTAGGACTCATGTAGCCCCAAATGCTTTGTATTAATTTTAGAATAACGGCACCTAAGTTTCTCATAGTATTGCTATAGAGAAAAATATGATCAATTTTAAATTTAAGTGACTATATCCAAATTGTAGTTTTGGAAGTCGAGAGGCGAGTGGCGGGAGACCAAAAGGTAAATGAGGCAATACACACACACACACACATATATACATATATATTATTTATATATGTATATACACACACACTCTCTCCATCCCAAAAAAAACTTTACTATTCAAGGCTTGTAATAACTTTAGTGTGCGTGTGCTTTTTCGTTAGTTATCTTATAAAATACTCCCTCCGTTCCCCATAGATCTTCTTATTAGCCCTTTTTGTCCACCATAGATATTCTCATTACCCTTTTTAACAATTAAAATACCACAACTACCCTCACTTTATTTATTACATCTCACCTACCTCATTTAATACACTCCACCCATTTTCATTAGAGGTATTATGATAAACTTTTACCTTTTTTCAACTCTTTTTAAAAATGACAAACAATCAAAACGAGAAGATCTTAGGGAGAAGGAGGGAGTAAAAAACTCATGTTGGCACTTGTTTTGTAGAACATTTGACGTAGATTTTAAATATGTGACTTGTACTTTTTATTTCTATACTAATTTGTAAATAAAAGCATTTTAAAGTAGATGGGATCTTGCTAGCCACCAAAATTTGACATGCTAGCCACCAAAATTTGCAAGTACACATGTCAGCATAGAAATTTGCAAGTACTAATTTGACATGCTAGCCACCAAAAGATACATATTTATTGATTGAATGCTGACATGGATCTTACTAATTTGCAAGTACTAATTTGACATGCTAGCCACCAAAATTTGCAAGTACACATGTCAGCATTCAATCAATAAATATGTTTACTTACCATTTTTAAAAAAGATACATGTTCAAAGAAGCTCCAATTTCTTTCACAACCACACACATTGTTAGGCTCAAAATCTTTATAGGAAATTTTTGTAAGATTGGTATGCTTTTACCATAAGCTTTCCACCACTCCACTATCAATAAGCTTTTTATTCAACTAATAGATTTATATTATAAAATGGTTTGTATTCTAATTTGAGACAAGTAATAAGATGGATTGTACTATATGGTTGTGGATTTTGTTGCCCCTTTGCGTCATTGTATCCCAATATACTGTCTGCATTTCTGTAAGGTATGAGATCGTTTGTAATCTTTTCTTGTGTTCGAGTATGTGGATCTAATTTCCGGAGGAGGTTATAAGATGCTTCCACCACTCTATCCTTGATTTTTCAATGTATGGGTTAGAATAACTGGGTTGAAATAGTGGCCGGCTGCATGCAATGAATGATGAAGCTGAACATCCCACCTTTGATCAATGATTTCAAACCCTCTACTACTCCGTAGTATGTTCTCTTTGAGATCCAAAATTGTTTGTTATGGCCTCCTTGGTCTATCCATTGCCTCATACATAGTCACCATTGCGGATTTGGTTTCACCTTTCACCACCAACTAGCAGAAGAACTTAGGAGGAGCAACCTTTAAGGATTGCAAGTTTGTTCATCTTTTTGTTTCTTCACCCACTTGTTATTTCCCAAGCCTATGAAAGAAAGAGAGTTCTTAACTCTTTCTTCAATGTATGAATCCTTCCCAGAGTAAGGGTAACTGTGGCAAAATGAGTTACACCAGGTCTAACCAAATCTAATTTAGTAGAACTTACTCATCAAGTTTGTTAAATTTGAGCGGGAGTAGATATAACTATCCCATTTCACAGGTTTTTTTGTACACTAGGTCGACATCTTTCTCTTTAAATGCATCCTCTTGCATCTAGTCTAAATAATGAGCGAGAAAAAGGGTCGTATTCAATTGAGGATAGTTCGCCATTTAAAGCTCTCCTACAAATTAACTGATAAGAAATACACAAGTCAATATTACACTATAGTGTATAAAATATGAATTCTTACTCCACATAATTATTCTTACCTGCCATCTTCATGTTCGTGGTGTTCTCTCTGACTACTTGTGTCACATTTTGCGGTTCAACTGTTTTTTGAAATTCACTTAGTAATTCAAAAATCTTTTCCCCGGTCTTGGAATGCTTGGAAGCATTAGCTGATTTTGCTTCCCTTTGGGAATTTAACTAAAAAAATAACCGATGCCCTCTCTCTATTGTCTTTCCATCCACCGGACTTGATAGAACAACTGTTCTTTACCCATGTTTCTCTATAATCTTCCATTGCTTCATCCACAAGCTCAACCTCTTTTTTGATTAAAGGACCTCTAAGCTCTAACTTCATGAAGTGATGGAACTTTCATTCTTGGGCCATGCTTGTCAATTGCATCTATAGTCTATTGGAAGCTTTCATAATTAGAAACATTAAAAGGAATACTAGCATCATACTTCCATCTTCATATTGTAGAACATGTGGCTCCTCAACTCTTTCAACCCTTCATCATCAAGGTCTTTTTGCTCTTTCATCCCTTTTGCAGTGGGCTGACCACTATGGTTAACAGACATCCATTGGCCCATTTTTGTTAATCTTTTGAATTTTTAATGCACCCCCTCACTATCTTATCACCATCTTCCATGTGTTCTCACGTAAACGATGTTGTTGAACTTTCTCCATCACAATTTGTTCTGCTGTTTTTTTTGTATTCATATAATTCCGTATCTTTTCCCTTACTTCGCCTGACACCTTTTCACAAGCCTTGACACTTGTGGAGCCCCAAAGTATATGTTGCTTTTCTCTACGAATTTCCCCGTGGTAGGTTTCGTCACAACAAAGAAATGCTGTTTTGTTTGTTACTTGGTGATACAAGAAATATGCAACTATGTTTTTCATGAGTTTTCCTTTTTAGCAACTAATATAGTCACATTTTACTATAAAATAAATTTTTTGTCTGAACTTATTTATTTACTAATACTGTATTAGTTTCCATGACAAGATTATGTTCTTAACCTGCTTCATCATGAAATGTAGGTTGTTCGATGGGGTAGATCTGTGTATGCCAATATTCAGAAATTCATACAATTTCAGCTGACTGTAAATGTTGCAGCTCTTATCATTAATGTGGTTGCAGCGGTATCTGTTGGTGATGTGCCACTAACTGCAGTACAGGTTTGTGATTACTTGCTCCATCTTAAAATAAAAGACGTTTCAGTGTACGATGATTTACTGGATTTATTTTCTCTTTAATATATTTTAGTGTTGGCGTAGAAATAGAAGATAAAATTTATATATTTAGTGTTTTGTTAACAGTTGAACCTTACCAAAATTTAATAGGTTTACACTCTTCAATGTGGACTTTTTATGGTAGGGAGTAGTTATCCTTTTATATTTATTTCTACGTTAATGTAAATTTAAAACTCAATATGTTTGGGACACTTTCTTTAAATACACGAGGTATCAAAAACTATGACCGCAGGTGCTTCTCTCTCCTCTTGGTTCATGTAGCCTACCCGAAGTTACTTGGGTTTAAGGCTTTGTTGTTTTTGTAATGAAAACTTGCTTCTTTTGTTCAAATATGACTTTTGGATGCAATTAGTTTTCATACTAGGCTCTCTTTTTAGCAAAGGATTGTACATATTTGCTCAGATCTATATTTAGTGGCTTGCCATTTTGTCGTTATATCCACACAGCTTCTATGGGTAAATCTTATCATGGACACCCTAGGCGCACTTGCTCTTGCCACAGAGCCACCCACTGATCATTTAATGGAAAGACATCCTGTCGGACGAAGGTTAGACATCTATGTTGAGTTTTGTGGATTCTTTTTCTCATTATTTTTCAATGCTAATAAGCTAGTTAAGTTTGAGGGTCACAGTAGGGTATTTTACCTAACTTGGATAATTATACGAATAATTATTTGTGAGACCATATGTGTGATATAGTTGTTCTTGCATTCACTATTTTGTGGACTGTTGTGTTGGGCACATATAAACCCTTCCTCTTTTGGAAATAAATAATGCATTTGGTGATGTGCAACCACACTACAAAATCAACAATCTTTATGTTTTCGTTCTTATTTTTGTCAATATTGTCTTTTGATTTATCATGGATGGCTTGTGTGGATTATTATTTCTAAGAGACTATAAGCATGATATAGTTTTCTTCTATCCACTATTCCGTGGATTGTTGGGTTGTGTCGTGAACTTGCTACATTACATGGCCATGGAATAATAATGGTACTTAGAGCCAATGTTTTAAAAATGCTAGGCATTAAGCAATAATCTTTGTCTTAGTATCTGGTCAGTGAGTACTCAAGCTTATATGTCATTGTAGTTGAATTTTGTGGGGTCCAAGCCTAAATTACAACTAGGCGTTCAAGGAGATTCTAGCGCCTATGCGAGAATTAGGACGTTTGGACAAGAACATAAATAGCACTAACGTTTCGAGTTTCATGGCGGAGAGTGGAGACAATTGGGTTCTAAGAAAATATTTTTGTCAAACACTGAATTGAACACTAAGCATTATATGAGTGATAAAGTTTGATGGATGTAGCATAATGTTTGAACACATAATTTATTAATTTATCCAAATGTCAATTACTAACTGCTCATGAAACTCATTAGCTGAGCACAACCTTAATCGGGATAACGCGGAAGTGCTTACATAAACTTTTGTAGACCTGATTCCTATTTTTCTAGGAATACCATGTCATAATTCCTGTGTATAAGCTACGATTGCTTCCTCTGTTTTTAATAATGTCATCTTTGCAAGTGTATCCATAATGCCTAGTTGTTTGCTATTTGGTCCACAAAATAAAATCTTTTGAAATTTCAGGGAGCCACTCATAACAAATATCATGTGGAGGAATCTTGTAATTCAGGTACCGTTTATCAGTTATGTAGTGTCTTTAAAAAACCACTCTATTCAGACTGCTTTATTTTTAGTTTTTGTACTGCTTTTCTTGACTGATATATAGTGGCATTAATACAATGTACAGGCCTTGTACCAAGTTACTGTTTTGTTGGTCCTCAACTTCCGCGGTAAAGGTATTTTGAAATTGGAGGATGCTAACAGAGACCAAGCTGATAAAGTGAAGAATACAGTGATTTTCAACTCATTTGTCCTCTGCCAGGTATACTATCAGTGGAATAAATTAAACAGAGGAAAACATGCTTGGAACTAGTGATGCTATTTTAAATTTTAATCCATTATTGTGTTTTCTTTTTATGATGTCTTATATTGTGTTATTTTGGATGTGCTTGTTGATCACAATGACAAGGAGAACAAAAACCGAGTATAGTTATTAAAGGCAAGTGTCCTGCGTCTGAAAGATGAATGAGGCAAAATACTTTGAAAAAATGACACACACACATTAGTGCAGTAACTATTCTCAACATGTCGTAAATGTCAAAGTTTAAATCAGGATTATTAATTTCCTACTATTAGTAGCGTGCTGAATCCTACTCCCTCCATACCGCTATCTTTGGGACATGAGGAAGTGTGACACTGTTATGGGTGTAGCCAGGATTTGGTAGAGTGGCGTGAGTGACAGAAACCCTAGAGAGACTTCACCTTGCCAAAGTCTATTTAGTCTTGCTATTATTTGTATTATTGATAAAGGTAAACCTCTATTTATAATACTCACAATAATCATGGCGAGTCTTAAATAGATTTCTAGTCATTACAGCATTGATATTAGTAATATTAACTAAAATAAAGTCTCTATACTACAGGATATTATTACTAATAATAACAGGAACGAATACTTCTTCCCTCCGTCCCGAATTAAGTTTCCAGATTTGATCGAGCACAGTTGTAGTTATTAAGAAAAGTGAAATTGAATGGTTGAGAGTTACATGCAGGAAAGAGAAATGATGTGAACCATATTATTGTTTCTTTAAAAGGAAAGTCGAACTTAGTTTGGACAAACAATAAAGGAAGTGTAGAATCTTTTTCTGGACAGAGGGAGTATATTACTAAATGATAATGGTTATTTTATAAGTTTTTTTTTTAATTTTGAATATTAAGTCAATATCCAAGCCTATTAATAAATTAGTAAGCCCATATGTTGAGGTTGGGATGATGAGAGGATTGCTTAGGTGACTAACGCTGCATTCCGTTCCCCTGATCTAATCTAATTTAGTTTTCTGAATATTTGATCAGATCTGGTCTGGTTTTATCTGATCTGATTTGTTGTTATAACTAAAGCTGTTTCTGATCTATGATTATAGTAAGAGTAAGTAATAAGCAGAAAAAGTAAGTTGAACAGAACGCAGCCCAAGTCGGCTGCCTCATTCCCGGAGAAGAGGTGACCAAGGGGCTCGAAGCTCTTCACCTCTGGGTATTTCCTAGCCTGAGCTTGTTCAGGCAATACACCCCTTGCCTCTCTGCCTCACTTGCCTTAGGGTCACCCATAGTTATCAAGGCGACGCTTAGGCGTCTGGGCGAGGTTATATGGAAGCCAAACTGCTCGCCTAGCTTTTTTTGAGGAAACACGGGAGAAGAAGATGACTGAAAGAAGCCTGAGAGAGCACGAAGGAGGAGAAGAAGATCCGAAGAAGACGAAAGGGAGAGAGACTTACTATTGGAGGAAGATCGACTTTACCTTCCTCGCTGATGCCGATTCAGTGTCGCGACTTGCGAGATCCAGCGGCTTCCAAGTCTAAACCCTCAACTCTCCATAGTTATTTAGGTTAACAAATTTGGGCTGAGTTTATTAAAAGAGCAGTGGGCCTTTGCACTTATTAAGTATAGCTCTTTACTAAGAGAGTATTGGGCCCAAAATTTGATTTCACTCTAAAAAAGTTTAAAAAGCCCACTAACTTACTAACTTGTGTAAAAAAATATACCTACTTTTTTAAATATAATTTAAAATTTTATTTTTTTAAAAAAACAACATTCATTCATATATTTCAGAATATACTCTTTTTTTGGGTACATATGCACTCTTTAATTACTTATTTCTTATTATATGCTTTTATATGAATACCTATAAAATAATAGAGTTGTCATAGCCCACTCACCTAGAGGACGCCTAGGCGGTGCCTAATTGCTTAGGCGATTGGAAGGTACCCTAACGCCTAGACTCGCCTAGCCGCCGTAACAACTATGCTCTCACCTGTAATAACTATGCAAGGGCTCAGAAGTGGTGGTTGGAGAGTGCGTTTAATGTTCAGGAGGATATCTATTACTAAGAGAGCGGTTGCTTTTTCGATGTCAAATCATGTCACTTTTCAGTGATTGTGACAGTCATATTATCCTTGTGCATATTCGATTATGTTACTTTTGAATATCTGATGATGTTACAATAAGTTTTACTATTTAATATGGAGTAACATAAGTGACTAGAAGATATTTCTGTTTAGTTGGTTTCTACTTCAGTTTTTCAAGTTCTCTATTCGTTATTGTTATTTCTATGCTATTTGCAAATGCAAATTTGCTTTTTCATGAACCTTTTTGTTTGTGTATAGATCTTATTTTCTATTGATATGTATTTGTTGACCTGTTGAATAGAATGGTTCTTAACCATGCATGATCAATTGTGTAGATATTCAATGAATTCAATGCTCGAAAACCTGATGAGATCAATGTTTTCAAAGGTGTTCATAGGAACCGTTTATTTGTGTTCATTGTGAGCCTTACTCTTGTGCTTCAGGTGATTGCCCTCTTTGAAGTTTTATCATTGCACGATTATCAATGCATGATATGTTCTTCCTTTTTCAGGTTATCATAATTAATGAATGACATCTTCTTCCCTTCTCAGGTTATCATTATCATGTTTCTTGGAAAGTTTACTTCAACAGTTAGACTCAGTTGGAAATTATGGCTTGTTTCGGTCGCAATTGGATTTATCAGGTTAGTTGTGTGATCTTCAGTGACGTTTTGTATATACATCATCCATATGCTATTTGCAATTTACTGTTAATGCTTCTGGGGTTATTTGTCGGCATATTTTTGCAATGTTTTATACCATTTCTAAATCTGGATTTTGGTGAAACAGCTGGCCCCTAGCTGCTCTTGGGAAGATGATACCTGTTCCAGATATGCCATTCAGTGAAACCTTTGGCAGAAAAAGGTGCACACGAAGATAGGTATATCTGGTGGCAACACTTTTTTTCTTGGAGATTCAATTATAAACACATCTTTAGTCCTGTTGTGTTATTTATAAGGTTTTGATTGTTAACATAATTTTTTGGGGTTTCAGACATGGAGTTCCTGCAATTAAGTGCGAGTCCATGATGCATTAGAGTGTGTTTTTCTCATTATCCACTCACTATACACTGCCAACAGTCAGCAGACATGTATATAGATTTTTGTTTTTTGAAGTTAGAATCTAATCATACTCGTTGCTGTTTCTATCGTACCCTTACATATATCTTTCTAATACATAAAATGCCAAAGAAAGTTAGGCATCCCTTAATTTTTTGTACTTTTTCCATCCAAAAAAAGTACATTCATGCTTTATAGACGGTACACTACTTTTCCATTCCCTGTCTACACTTAAGCCGTTAACTTTCTTAACTTGACTCTCATTACTACTGTCATGAATTCACAATTGATTTTAGAATTTTTAACTTTGCAACAATGCAAAGAGAAAATGGAGCTGCCAAATCTTATTAATTTTTCAAATTGCGAAAGTGGCACTCCATCATTACGTTTGGTGTTCTTTTTTGTATATATAAATTGATTGGAGAATAATGGGGATGCTAAATCTTATTCTTACTAATATTTTACTCATTATTTTCATTTCTTTGTTTTTCTTTTTTCTTTTTACACGGGAAATTATGTGCAAACTTGCCAATTGTAAAAGATTTGCACGGGAAATGTAACAAGATTTTAGCAGTGATGCAGAATCAAAATAATACTTGTTCTCACATCTTGATAAGTTTTCTTTATTTTTGTAATTTTATTGATTACAATTTGATAAGATAACATATTTGTGTCACCTTTTATTTACAATTTTTTATGTAGTTTTTTATTATGTAAGTTGTTTCTAATTCTTATACCAATTTTTTAAGTAAAATAATTTCAAAAATATAGAGTTTTACTTTGTAATGTGAAAATTATAATTAAATATGGGATAGATGGAGTATACAAATAATTTGTGCAAATAACGAATTACACATAAACACTACAATTTGAACTTAATATGGCTTTGTTTGTTTGTGTTTTTATTTATTAATTTTAAATTAGTTCATCATCACACTATATCCATTACAATAATTAATTATTGTATTCATTACTCCCTCCGTCCCGGAGTATTTGTCCTGTTTTGACCTTTGGAACTGTTCATCTAAATGCTTTAACTCATCAAATTCTCTTAATGTGTAAGTCTAAATATAGTCATGTATGATCTTGTTTGATTTGTCTTAACATATAGATTATTAATATATAATTTTTATAATTTTTTAACATACAAATTATAAGATAAAATGGATTAAAGAAGTGTATTGGATGGTGTGTAAAAATGAAAGTAGACAAATACTCTGAGACGGAGGGAGTAGTTCACAGGAAGTTAAAATTTTGATCATGGCTTATGCGTGCAACTCCTATTAATTAATTGGATCACTAATTCAGGTACTATTTTTAATCAAAACAAAAAAAATGAAATAAGTGAATTGTGTAACTACAACTTGAATCTGATTAAATTAAAAAATTAAAATATGTAAATTCATTAAATTGCTTACCTGATGAAACTTTTCAATTCCACCCATAAAATCATCTTGCTTTTGTAAATAGTAAAGATTGACGTGAACACATAGTTATGTGGTTCGTGTTTGTGAATTTGTCTCAAAAAAAAAGAGTACATACTAACTTTTTGTGCCTCTTTCAATGAGAATGAATAATATATTTTTTCTTCAAAATTGTGTGAATTGATGAACCTAATAAAATAGAGATTTATGACCAATCAATTGGGTTAATTATTTTTGTTGTTTTTACACAAGATGATTTATATCTTTCCTTGGCCTTCTGATTTCAAACTAGTTAATTGTTAAAAATGATTTTGTTTAGGTAGAATATGTTGATTACTTACTTTTATGCACCGTGTACATACATGATGGGGAGTGCAACACGTAGTTCCAAATTCAGAGTGGAGCCCATATACTAAGTTTAAAAAATTATTTTAGGGCAAACAATTAGTAAGGTATTTCCCTCCTACTACATCAAGCTCCACCTCCTATGTCACGTTAATTTAAGCACATCTACATAAACTCAAACAACCGAACACTTCTTTGATACACTAATTTGTAATAGGGTGATAACTACGTAAGCACATCTACATAAACTAAAACATCTACTTTAAGCATCTACATAAGCACATCTACTTTAAATGCACCTACATAAACTCAAAAACAACTGAACACTTCTTTGATACATTAATTTGTGATAAGATGATCACTACGTAAGCTTGTATGCATTACACACACGTACATATGCACCAAACCAGAATCTCCCACACACAAAAATCTATATATGATGCATTGATCTGAAATGACCAGAAACACTTCTAATTCAAAATTGTGTTCTTATTACCAAAATACAACACATTTCTTTTACACTAGACGTTGCATCAAGTATGAGAAAGAAAAAATGTAGCACATTTGCTTCACAAAAGACATTGCATCAAGTTTGAGAAAAAAAAACAAATAAATGTTTGATGCCCTCTTGTGCCTTCTTCTTCTTCTTCTTCTTCTTCTTCTCAAGTTTGCAATACTCCCTTATCTCCATTGTTCTATTCCTCAGCTCAATCTATTCATACTTTTGAACCTGGTATTAGAACTCAATTCATCTCTTTCTTTTAAATCCAAGACAATTCATTCTCCAGTGTGCTTTGATTGTAGATGGAAGTGAATTATACATGCAAAGAAATCTTCAGTACTCTACACCACTCTCTAAAAGAACGGATTTTGCAGATTTGGGAGATTCTCCGAGTACCAAATTTGCCCTTCCACAAATCATTAGCGCCGAAATTGGAGTAATTTTTTGATCCTGCCATATACGGAGTAAAAATTAGGGTCTTATTTTAGAAGCTAGAGCAATCTTGTCCATCCGATGCATATAATCTAAAGGACCATTTCTATTCTTATTTCTTTCACCAAGGGTCATTCTCACAGGAACCGACCCCTATATATATATATATATATATGTGTGTGTGTGTGTGTGTGTGTGTGTGTGTGTGTGTGTGTATGTATGTATGTATATATCTGTGTGTGTGTGTGTGTGTGTATCTTCTTCTTCCTCTCCCTCTGCTCTTGTCCATAGCGGTGTGATCGCAAGAGAGAGCGGAGCGAGAGAGACGTGAAAATGTGCGATGTGGGGAGGTGGGGAGGGGGTTAACACACGTAGGGTTATTTTAAATAACCTAGTATTTGTGCTCCGTAATTAAATAATGTACCTCGGGAATACATTTTCCGAGCCAACTTGTTCTGAATTTAGATCCATTTGCACTGTTGGATTGGTCTCGTCGAATCCTAAATAATGGTATAACTTTTATAATTTATTGACAAATATTTCTAATTAACCCCATGTATGTGTAAGTAGTTAGTTAAGGATTTGTAATTAATTAATTAATTTGATATGCTGGGTTTCGGGGCGTTGCACTATCTATATGAATTGCCTCCTAAACGGTAAGCCCCGGGAGCGTGATCAATAGAATAGGGGAAGAGATTGGCTTGGCCCAAATGAGTTTCACAATTTGTTTTTTGTTTCAATATGTGAAACTAAACATATAATGAAATGAACAACTCATTGGAAACGTGTCTCTATGCTTCTCCGGCCAAACGGAAAGCCATCATGGGCATAATAAACGATATCAAGGAGAACCCTGTTACTATTACGGGTCCAGGCAGTGTCTATTCGGGTGAAGATGCTCATGCAGAATTGACAGAACGCTTGGAGCATAGGAGAAGGGAGCATGAACCAAGGGATTGCTCCAAATTCAGCGGAATTTCACTTTATATCGACTATTCCGTTGGGACAACATGGAATTATGGAACAAACTCCCAGAGCTGCGTAACTCACGAGTCTACGGGTATATTAGACGGAAGCAACCCGTTAAACAGTGCCAACTCTCCATTCTTTCTCTTTGAGGTTCGCATCCCACCATAGTGAAAAGGAAAATCGTAGTTCAAGCTCTAGTTTAGACTAATGCTACTAGAATAAGTCGAAGCTGTCAATTTTAGTGAGGAGCCCGCAACCCTCGAAATATTGCGTCCATTTACCTGTCACAAACAATTTATATATTTTTATGTCGGTTTAAGCAACAATAAAATGTGTAAATATTTTTGTACTTTTTTTAATAATATAATTGTGAAGAATCTATTCAACAGATGTAAATGGAAAACTAATAATGTACTGTACTAGTGACGGCTTCGCCGACAAAACTTTACATGGGCATACGCGACACTAGTAATTCTTAATTTTTAAACGTTAATTTTTGTCAGTTGGGCCGACACAATTCTAAATTTTTAAAACCCCGTCGAGGACTCTTTAATTACTACCCTTCAATTAAAAAAACCAAAGGAAGTTACTACTAACCGGCCTAAGGGTGGACACGGTATGGTTCCAGGACGGTTCCGGTTCCGGTACCGTCACCCCTTGGTACCGGTATTGTGACCAGACCGGGCGGTACCGGTTCTGGTATCGAACCGCCCGGTTTCGACCACCCCCAATATATTTTTTGCTTTCTTTAAAAAATTTTAAAGTGTAAAATTATAAATTTGCAAATGTTAAAGGAAAGAAAGAAATAAAAAATCTAAAAATGTAGTTGTTATTTAAATATTGTAAAATGATTAATACACGAACAGAAGAACAACTACATTTAATATCCCGACAGTTCAAAAAAAAGCGACGAGGTAAAGAACCGTAAGGAAACCCTCGAAGGAGCTTATATATCGCTCACCTAAAAAAACTAATTACATATTTACATATCTACATTAACAAAAAAGTTTATAACTTATTCCTCAGAACTCGAACTTCCATCTGTGGTTGAATTCATGTAATGATCGGAATTGAATTCGTACCCTGACTCTTGACCTCGACGTCTTGCCAAGAGCCAATCTCGGTTGCAAAGAAGTATTTCAAGAGATTCAGCGCTAAGACAACTTCGGAAGTTGGTTAAAATGTTGCCGCCAGCACTGAATTCTTGTTCCACTGCTATGGTTGATACCGGGACAGACAACACTTGTCTTGCTAGCATTCCGAGACATGGGAACATGTGTTCGTTCCACTTCCACCATCAAAGGACGTCAAACTCCACGTGGTCGTCGTCGTAATCGCATGGCACCCCTTGGTACATAGCAAGTTCGTTGTGCGAGCTTACTGTTGTACCACTTGAACTCGTCGAAGGCTGAGCACACTTCCCTTTCTTTGCAAGAAGTCCACCGACTATTCCTTTAAAATCTTTTTTTGATTTGGGGGGCGGAGGAGGTGCTGTTTCTTCTGGTACATTACCGTATAACCCTTGATATTCCTTAAATAAGGCCTCAAAAAGAGTTATAGCATTATCTCTTTCTTTTTCCCATTCTATTAAATGGCTGTAGTAATAATTATTTTCATCTAAAAAACAAATGTAGTAATAGTCAATTAGAGTTTTATAATTTTCAATTTTAAAGCGTGGATCACAAATAATACCTATTTTATAAATATCAGGAATGTACAAATAATAAGCACACCATTTATCTTTCATAGGAGAGACATAAGGGTACAAATCTGGATCAGCCAAACTTTCACGAAAACATGTTGCGATTGTAACACAACAACAACAACAACAACAACAATCTAGTTAAATCCCACAAGAGTAGGGTCTAGGGAGGGTGTGTGTATGCAGACCTTACCCCTACTCGAAAGTAGAGTGGTTGTTTCCAAAGAGACCCCCGGCTCAACGTCGAAAGTTGCATCGCTTGACTAACTGCTACTTCATTAATTAAAGAAGCGCAGACAGAAACGGGAAGAACATTATAGGACAGAGGGAGTAACTCATAATGGTTGTCTTTCACCTTTATTTGGGAGATTTTTTAATAACATAGTGATTTAATTATTTATCTGGAAACAATCTAGTGTTTTTGTCTTATCGAAGTCTTTTTTTGCACAAGTAGAGAAAAAATATAAACCATGTGAACTCAATCATTTATAATGAAAAATTAATATCGGTAGTACTGGATCATTTTTTTATTATTTTGATTTACAAAGTGCGATGTAGAATTACTTTTGTTTGGTCAAGACATTGTTAGATTAATTATGTCCATTTTTTCTTTCAATTAAGATTTAGAAAAAGTATTGCTTCATTTGCCCACTTATTTTTGTTAATGGATTAGTGACATGCAAATTAAAAAATGAAAAATTATATGATTGATATTGATTTTAAAAAGAAAAAAGTAAGAGTAAGTGTGAGTCACACAAATATTACTATGATTTGAGACACACTCTTTAAAAAATGTATTTGTAGTTGGTTGGTAAACATACGAAAAAGTAAGAGTTGCGTTATTAAAAACTTCTAATACGACATTCAATTTTTCAACAATAACAAATTCAATAGGTGAAATCATTAAAAGAAGTTCATTCCTAAAAAATTCAGGAAGTTCCTCTTTGTAGCTTAGAATCTGTGCTATCAACTTGTATGTACTATTCCATCTACTGTTGATATCTTTGGCAAATATTATTGTTCTTCTACCCTTAGACTTACAGAATGTCTTCCAGGAATTCGAAATAAGACGACTATCCCAAATCCTTCTAATTCCATTTTTAATATTCGTCAAACCCCCTATAGCTTCTAATCCCTTTTGAACACATAAATTTAAAACATGACAGTCACACCGTTGATGCAAAACTCTACCCATACTCGTAATAGGGGGCAAATTTCTTTAAGTTTAGGAATAGCAGCAGTATTATTAGTAGCATTATCAAAACCAAATGCAAACACTTTTTCAACTAAGTTGTATTCCCGCAGAATACGCTGAAGCAATAGAAAAATATTTTCAGCAGTATGAGAATCATTGAAATCACGAAATGCAAGAACACGTTTATGCATAATCCAATCACTATCTATCCAATGACAAGTAATACCCATATAAGAAAAATTATGATATGTTTCACCTCAAATATCAAAACAAATAGTAACAAGAGAATTAAAATTGAGAAAAAAATTTGCCAAGTTTGTTTTTTCAAGTTTATACTGTCGAATAATTTCTCGTTTAATTGTTTTTTCTTGAAAAACCTCTTGCTTGAGGCTTTAATGCCTGTTGACAATAATCAATAAATCCAAGTTTTTCAGAAAACATGTATGGCAAATTTTCTTCACAAATTATTTCGGCCATTTTTTGCTTATTTTACTCGTCGCTATAAGCAAAAAAGCCACCCTAACTCCTGTTAGCAAACCGAGAAATTTGGGTTTGCACTTCTTGTCGTCCCTTCTTTTTCGGCGTGTATTTGGCGTACTCCACGGGATGCCTCGACCTTAGGTATTTTTCCGGACCACCATAACCGCCGAAAACTCCCATTTTAATGACAGTGGCACAATATTTACAAGTTCCACCCGCATAAACTATGCCATATTTATTTTTTTTGAAAAATGATAAAAAAAAATTAAGCTGATTTTAATTTTTTTTGCCTTTGTCCGGACCTTGAGAGGTCTCGGGCTCACCTACCTCCTTGTCGACGTGCGGTGTAGGCTCCATGTCCCTGTCCATTCATGCTTCATCAATTTCCTCGAATAAACTTTCAAGAGTTTCGAGATTCGCGTCGCCTCTACCTGACATGTAACAATCTAATTCTTGATTCGTCAAAGTGTCACCCACGAATGGATCGGGAATACTAGGAAAGGAAGAGACAGAGTGTCTTCCTGGAGAACCGCGTGAGGTCGAACCGTCAAAGGTGGCTTTACTTTTGTCTCTCCTCGAAATTCGGTTCACGGCGCTCATATCCACAGACCTTCTACCAGACTCTCTCGACATTTTAATATATTTTTTTGATAAAAAAGATTATATTAAAATCTTTATAATATTAATTATATATTGAATTTAGAAATTATAATATTATTTTATAACAAATTAATATATGAGAATATGATTATATATTTATATGAATAATGAACGTATGACTAAAAATTTAATATTATATATTTATATGAGTATATATTTATATATTATATAATATGTTAATATATATTGATATTATTATATAAATATAAAATGTATAAAGAGATAATATGAATTGAGAATTAAGATTTAAGAGAATTAGAGAGGATTAAGAGGAAATGAGAATGGTGTGATATTTTTAAAAAAATGGTGTATTTATAGTGTAGGTTACCCCCCCTCCCCTCAACGGCATTATAGCCGTTTGAGGGGACCCCCACCCAGCCCTTCACCTTTTTTTTGCAGAATTGTAGGTGGACAGCAAGAATAGCAAAAAAATATATTTTAGGTACCAGAACAGGTACCGGTGCCGCCGGTGCCGGTACGGAAATACTGGCACCAAAACCGGTACCGGTTCCCAGAATCGGGTAATTGGTTTGTCGACGGCGACGGTGGCGGGTACCGGCGGTAACGGCGCCGGTAACGGTACCGAAGCGGTACCGTGTCCACCCCTAAACCGGCCTAAGTTCATGTGCAGCAATTAAAGCTTTGCCGACAACAAGGTTCTCCGCACAGTCGATCGGAGACCGCAAGAGTACTATCCAGCGCGATGATTTTAGCGAGATAACCAGGTTCTACACACCATTCTTTTCAGTTTATTAATTAGGTTAAAAAAATTAGGTTAAATGACATCTCTAATTTTTGAAGTGTATTTAAATGATTTCATATTGAAGTGTAAGAAATCTGTGTTCTTTGTTGACTCTTGCTACTTTGAATTACCGCTTGATGATTACATAAATTGATACTTATAAATATTTTAGTTTGAAGTTATGCCCACCAAGTGTTTGATGAAATGCCACACTTAACAAGAAGGTGAGACTGTTGGGTTTGTGGAGGCATGGGCTTGAATTATTGGTCAGCCCATGTTATCTAACCCTAGTTTTGTTTTTTCCTAAATATTGAGCCCTTGTACTTGTAATTCCGTGAGACACGACAAGTGAAATAGAAATCCTCCTGTTGCAGCCATGGATTAGGGAAACCGAACCACGTTAAATTCTTGTGTGTCGTCCGTGTTCCGTTTCTCTCATTTCTCGCAGATTATTTGTGTGTGTTGTGTGTTTAATTCCCAACAAGTGGTATCGGAGCCAGATTGTTCAACACGAATAGCGAGAAGCTGTCACCTAGGGTTTGCAATCTAGATTGTTGGATTGTGTGTTTGAGAAAGAGAAGTGTGCACCGCATGTTACGAGAAGGGGGAGATCTGCGCAGGTGTTCACCAAAGTCTGCGAGCCGCCGCTGCATCCCTTCGTAGCGCCGCCGTCGACCTCTCGATCGCCGCCGCCGATAGCTGCGCGCAGAAGGAACTGCCGTCGCTGCCGTCTTCAGTTATAGAGCCGTCGCCGTCCAGTGGGTCGCCATCGCCGTCCGAGCCGCCGCCGCTAGCCGCGCGCAGAGGACTGTGGCGTTAGAATCGCGCAGCAGCGGGAGAGGAAATTGTAGCCACCGTCATCCAGATTGTACGCCATCTAGAAGGAGCCGCCGCCGCCGCCGGATCTTTGAGTCGCCGCCGCCGCCAAATTATACAGCAGTGGTTTGCCTATTCTTCTTGATTTGGTTTGGGCCGTAATTTTTCTTAAGGGTGGACATTGGGCTGATTTGTTTTCGCTAATTTAATTGGTGTGGTGGGCCTGTTTTTCTAACGAAATTACCAAGATCTGAAATTAGTTGTACCAGGTATCTCGTCTAGTCTTTTGAGATGGCTGAAGATGGGAAGTTCCATATTGAAAAGTTTGATGGTACAGATTTTAGTTGGTGGAAGATGCAAATTGATGATTTGCTGGTTCAGAAAGATTTGGACGTGGTATTGGGTGACAACCCAGAAAAGATGTCGGATGCAAATTGGGCAGGTTTGGATCGGAAAGCTATGTCCGTGATCCGTCTCTTGTTGACCAAGAATGTTGCCTACAACATTCTGAAGGAGAAGACAGCGAAGGGAATTCTGGAAGCGCTGTCTAACATGTACGAGAAGCCATTTGCACCGAATAAAGTTTTTCTGATCAGAGAGCTGGTGAACACAAGGATGAAAGAAGGCACTTCGGTTACCGAGCATATCAATAAGCTGAATTCGATCTTAGCCCGACTTTTGTCAGTGGGCATTAAGTTCGATGATGAAGTTCAAGCTTTGCTACTGCTATCGTCTTTACCTGATAGTTGGTTCGGAACGGTTACAGCGGTTACCGGTTCAGTGGGACCCGATGGATTCACCTTTGATCAGATTCAAGATCTCGTTCTTGGCGAGGATGTCAGAAGAAAGAGTTTGGGGGAGTCATCTGGTGAATTGCTTCATGTTGGTAGAGGTAGAAGAAATAGTAGAGGTAGTGTTAGCAGGAACAGACAAAGGAGTCAGTCGAAGACTTGTGACAGCTCAGGTGTAACGTGCTGGAAGTGCAAGGAGGTGGGGCATTTTAGGAATCAATGCCCGAATGATAAGAAACTGAACATTGCTGAAGGCTCCGCGAGTGATGAGGAGGTCACTCTGACTTGCTGTGAGGAAAGCAATGTTGATTTCTGGGTCATGGATTCTGGTGCTTCGTTTCATGCTACCCACAACGGTGAAGCATTGCAGAATCTAGTTGTTGGGGACTTTAGAAAGGTACGACTAGCAGACGACATAGCTCTTGAGGTGACGGGCATGGGTGACATGGTGTTGAAGACCCTAGTTGGTTTCTGGACTTTGAAGGATGTCGGAGTGGTTACAGGCTTGAAGAAAAGTTTGATTTCTGTCAGGCAGTTGGATGAACAGGGACACGAGGTGAAGTTCAGAGATGGGCAGTGGAAGGTCATAAAGGGAAATCTTGTCATGGCACGTGGAAGGAAGATTGGTTCATTGTATATGGTCGAGTTACCATCTGAGAGAGTGACCGTCCCAGTTCAGAAAAGAAACAAAGTCCGGTTCACAGAGTCTCGTGGGCAGAATAAGGTTGTTTGTGCAAGAGAGAAACCTAGAGCCACATGTCAGACACAGAATAAGGTTGTTTGTGTGTAGATAGTCTTTTCAAAACGCTAACGCTAATCAATAACATTATTCCCAAACATACCTTATATGAACATAATATAATAAGAACTTAAAAGCTCAAAACCCATATCAAAGATGGTAATTGCAAAAATAGTTTGAGAATATGCATATTTCTAGTAGGAAAAATTTATAAACATATCTCCTTTCCCCTCCACTCTTTTCATTCTTATTAAAAAATATAAAAGTAAAAAATAATGTATTTAAATAAAAAATAGAAACATTTTTAATGATCATATGAAAACAATATTTTTTCTAATAAAAATGGAAACATGTTTCCCTTTACCATAAATTATTAATTAATAGAAACGAAAATTGGTGCAACAACACTTACAAATAATTAAGAAACGTGTTCCTCTTTCCCGTCTACTAATTTGGTTATTATTAAAAAAGCGTAGTTAAATAAATATGGAAACTTTTTTAATGTTCATACGAAAACATTAAATTTTTAATAAAAATGGAAACATATTCCCCTTTACCATTAATTATTAATTAATAGAATCCAAAATTATCATAGCAATACTTACCATTAACTGCGTAGCATTTAAATAAAAATAGAAACATATTCACCTTTTTGAATTACTATTTTTGGTGTAATTTAAACAAAACATATTTATGTATTTAAATAAAAATAAAAACATTTTTAGTGCTCATACGAAAACATTATTTTTTAAATAAAAATAGAAACATATTCCCATTTATCACTCACCATTAATTGGAATATCATTTAAATAAAAATGGAAACATATTCCCCTTTCTACCTTATTATTTCGTTGTTATTAAAAACTTATTGATGTATTTAAATAAAAATAGAAACATTTTTAATGCTCATACGAAATTTTCCATTACCATAAACAATTAATTAATTACTATGTATTAGTCAATACTTCTACGAATTTCCCCATTTTTAATGCTTATAAAAAGTTCCCCTTAACATATTCCATTTACCATTAATTATGGAGTATTAATTAATGCTTACTAAATTTAATGCATACACATACATATAATGAGTAAGACGCACAACATTTCCATATATTACTCTTACATTTTTTTGAACAAAAATGCACTTTCATTAAATCAAACACAAGTCCCCCAAAACAGTTTACAAACTTTGCCTACCAAGCCAACTAACTACAAACCCCAAACAATGCAAAAACTATTTCTTCGGCCCCTTCCCCCAATAAGCTGTCAGACAACGAAGGATGCTATTATACATTACTTCTAGTTGTGGCTGCTCCTGTTTATGAAAGAGCTTGTTCCTCGCCTTCCAGATATGGTAGCATGTAGCTACAAAAGCACTAATGCCTCTATCCCTTCTTCTCCCTCGGACTCTCATCAGGTTTTCTCTGATTTCTTGAACACTATTGCCCTCCATCCTAATATCCAGCCAGTCACAGATTTTCATTAGCAAAGACTTAGTGAGAGGACAGGTGCTAAAGAGATGATCAGCATCCTCCTCACTACCTTGACACAGATCACACACCATGTTAATAGGTATGTATTTCCCCAGCCTTGTCTTTGTGTTCACTCTTCCTCTACAGATTAGCCAGGCAAAGAACTGATGCTTTGGACAAGATAGTTTGTTCCAGGCAAAAGAGATCCAGTCCTCCTTCCTCCTTTGCCCCATCAACCATCTATACCCCTCTTCTGTTGTGTATTCTCTATCCCTTGGCATTTGGTCAAACCACTTCCTGTTTTTTATAATTTTCTTCCAATAGTAACAGGTTTCTCCTCTCAGATTGTAGCTCACAGCGTCCCCCTTTACATATCTCTCATGGATCCATTTTACCCATAGATTGTTCTTATCTTTAGCCACGCCCCTCCAATAATTGTGGATGAAAGCTCTGTTCCAAAAGACCATGTTCCTCAGCCCTAGACCTCCATGTATTTTTGGTAAACACACATCTTCCCATCTGACCAGAAGGTGTTTAAGGTAGTTGGCTGAAGCCCCCCATAGGAAGTTCCTACAGATGGCTTGCACTTTCCTCATTACTTTATTTGGAATAATAAACAGTTGGCACCAGAACGTCATAATTCCAAAGAGCACACTATTAATCAACTTACTCCTACCAGCATAGGACATATGTTTGGATGCCCAGATGGTCACTCTATCTGTTAAGCTACTCACTAGCCTGTCACACTCCCTCTCACTGAGCCTACCTGCAAAAATTGGACTTCCAAGGTATCTGATTGGAAGCTCACCAAGGGGCAGATTGGTTAGCTTCAGGAAATGCTCTTGGTCCTTCTTGTCCACACCTCAAAAAATAATTTGTGATTTGGTGTAGTTAATACCCAAACCTGTAGACTTCTGGAATTTCCTCATAACCTCCATAATACAATTCAGAGACTCCTCCTCAGCCTTGCATACTATGATTAGGTCATCTGCAAAACTCAAATTTACCAGTTTTAAAGATCTGCACATGGGGTCAAAATTGAATCTTTTGTCTTTTGCCATCTGTTGAAGCAGCCTATTAAGGTACTCCATGACTAAAACAAAGAGCATAGGGGAAATAGGGTCTCCTTGTCCGAGTCCTTTCTTCCCCTTAAAGAACCCGTAGCTTTCTCCATCGATCTGTACAGAGAAAGAGGGGGTGGTTATGCACATCTCAATCCAAGCCACAAATTGACTAGGGAAATTCAGCAGCTCCATAATTCTTAGAACAGCCATCCAGTTCACTGTGTCATAAGCCTTCCTAATATCCAGCTTGATTAGGCATCTGGGAGAAATTCCCCTCCTTCTGTAACCTCTTGTTAGTTCATGGCAAAGTAGGACATTGTGTACCAGGCTTCGCCCTTCAACAAAGGCCCCCTGGTTCTGGTTAACCAGTACAGGGAGAATCTCCTTCAATTTGCTGCACAGTATTTTTGAAATGGCTTTATATACCACATTACAACAAGCTATTGGTCTATAAGCATTAGCCATCTTTGGTGCCTCCACTTTAGGAATCACTATGAGGGATGTGGCATTAATTTGTCTTAGAAATTTCCCTTTGAAGAAGTCCAGGATAGCCTCAGTAATCAGCTCCCCTACAACTTCCCATTGATTCTTAAAGAATCCACTACTAAAACCATCTGGGCCAGGGCTTTTTGAATTAGGGATACTTAACAGAGCTTCCTTAACCTGTATCCTTTTCACTTCTGCTATAAGAGTGAGCTGTTGGTCTATATTCAGACTTGTGCCTTCGTTCATGGCTTCCATGTCTACATCTTCTATATCAGATTGAGTGTCTATTAGATCTTGGAAGTAGCTAACCAGTGTCTCTGCCACCTTCTTATCCCCTTCCACTAATTGCCCCATCTCATTCTTAATAGTTAATACTTGGTTTTGGAGTCTTCTTTTTTTGATCCATGAGAAGAACAGTTTTGAGTTCTGATCACTCTCTTGGATCCAATCCCTCTTATTCATCTGATTTATCATCAGGGAAGTAGCCCTAATCTGGTAGTTTAGCTGCTTAATGAGTTCCCTCTCTTTTTGAATGAGCTCCTGAGTACTGGAACATTTTAAGTTGGCCTGGACCAACTGTAATTTCTGTCTCACCATATCAGTCTGCTGTTCTACCTTCCCAAATTTGTTTCTGTGTAGCTTCCGAGGGGCTTGAGCTCTTTTAATTTTCTACAAAGCTGAAACATAGGGCAGCCATTTATGTTCCTTTCCCACACTTCCTTTACTATTTGTGGAAAACTTGGGTCCAGTGTCCACATATCACAAAACTTAAAACTTCTATTATTTCTTTCCATGCTTTGGTAAAGCAATAGTGGAGAGTGATCAGACAGACCTTCCTCCTTGACCATACGTTTAGTTCCCATACTCAACATCCATTCAGTGTTACACAAGGCTCTATCAATTCTAGAGTAAATCCTGTGTCCTTGGCTTTGCCTGTTGGACCAGGTGTAGTAGGAACCTTCCATAGGCATTTCCTCTAATCCACAAACTTCCAAGCATTCTTTAAAATCCCTTATTTCCTCCATTCCCACAGGTGTTCCTCTAATCCTGTCTTCAAAATGTAGAACACAATTGAAGTCTCCCAACACTGTCCAATCCCCTTGTACATTATTATTTATATTTATCAGGTCTTCCCACAGCTGAAGTCTCTTCAGTGCTTCATTATGGGCATACACAAAGGTGACTTCAAACAAGAGGTCCTTCCCAATCCTTTTTACTTTACAGTGGATCAACTGATCAGTTTTTTTTACCAGCATTACATTGTATTGGCCTGGATTCCAGGTTACCCAGACTCTCCCTAGATAGTGTTTCTGATGGTTTGTTACTGACTTCCAACCTTTCATCAGCTTATTCTCCATTTCCTGGACCTTATTCTCCTTAATTTTAGTCTCAAGGATAGCCATAAGACCAATCTTATTACTACTAATAAAGTTCTTTATTTCTGATACTTTATTGGGGCTGTTCATACCCCTAATATTCCAACACCCAATCATGTCAAAAAGGGGTAGTGCCCCTGGTATGGGGCTTCATGAAACACTTTATTGATTCCATCAATGAACTGTTTCTCAAAGAGTCCTCCCCTTTTTGCACTCTTCCTCTTGGTAACTATGTGAAACTCCTCTTCTTCCTTATCCCCATCCATTCTTTCTTCCAGATTTTCATTTGAGGCATTCTCCTTGGCATCCTCTTTATGTTGTTGTTGTGGTGTACTTTGTTTCCTTCTCCACACCATAGTCTTTCTAGTAACAGGTTGCTTATCTCCCTTCTGTCTACATTATTCTTCTAGATGTCCCAGTTTCTTGCATAAGGTGCATCTTGTAGGGCTCCATTCATATTCAACTTTTTGTGATATCACTCTACTATCTTCATCAATAAATTGTACCATTTCAGGGAAGCTCTTCTGTATTCCCACCTCAATCTGTATCCTGGCAAAATCCAGCTTTGACTTGGTTGCAGTAGCCTTGTCCCTTTTCACTGGCTTTCCTATGATGCTTCCCAGCTTACTCAGTCCTGAGAGACTCCAATATTTAGGATCTAGGTCTGGAAACCTTAACCAGATTGGAATATCAGTGAGCTCATCTAGGTTGAGTTTACATCCAGGTTTCCATCTTTGAACTAACATTGGCTTATTATCCAGGAAGTAATATTTCCTTCTGGCTATTTCATCCCTATCCTCCTCCTTTTCAAAGTGCACAACAAATTGGCCTTCCCGGAGTACAACAACATCAGCAATCTTGTAATCCTTCCAAATCCTGCTCAGAAATCCATCCATGACTTTTAATGATGGATTGGCCCCTAAGACGCAGCATACAAGTGAAGAATTCCATCCCGCCGCATCTTCCTCTACAGCCTCCCTTGATAATCTAGCCACCTTCAATCCATTCATTTCTTCTGTTTGTACATAATTGAGTCCATAGTTAAATTCATCTTTTAAACCAGTGATTTCAGCAAAGGTCTTCTTCTTAGGTTCCTCAGGTGTTCCCCCTTGACCCGGTGTACCCCCTGGGTTAATCCCCGAGCTTCTCAGGTCATTCAGATTTTGTTCCTTCCTCTTCAGATCTGATTGTATATTAGAGTTGGGAGTGATATCCTTACCTGCACCCGTAGATGACTCTCCCCCACCGAGAGATTCAGATACTCTATTGCTAGGGTTTAGTTTCGCCCCAGCTACCGCCGCCGTTGGTTTCTTCCTCCTTGGTCGACCTCTTTTCCTCGCCGTCATTGCTCAGAGAAGAGATCACACCCTGAGATCGTGTGTATATTTGGGCGGGAAAAATTCGCCCCTTTTTAAATATAGTATAAATAAATTAAATATAGTATAGATAGTATAGATTTGAAGTAAAAATAGAAACATAGTACCGTGTTAATTATACTTTGAGTAGTGCTAGAGTCACACACAATTTGAACACAAATTTTACAAACTTACCATTTGTGAATTTTAATTTTTATTTTTTGATTACTTAAAAACAATTTATTTACCTAGAAAAGTGCACAAATGATAAATTGGTGTAGTTTGTGTCCAAATTGTTTGTATCTCTAACACTACTGTTATACTTTTTATAATATCACCGTACCATAAATAGTGTACATTTTAGAACACGGTATTAATAATTTTAAGGAATCAAATTACCTTACCATTAAATAATAATTAAGAATTAAGAATTAATAACCAAAACCGTATTTGTGTATGGTAATAGTTAATAGTAAGGGATGGTAATAATTTTAAGTTATGGTAATAATTAATAGTAAAGTACTAAAGTAATTTCTTACGTGTTTGTTTTACTTACCAAAATAGTAAAGTAATCTCATACGTGTTTGTGTTAATAAATAATAATTATAATTACCTTTTACACTCCATTATTACATCTATCACTTACCTTTTCTTGTTTAGCACTTACCTTTTGTGAGTGTAGACCACTTAGACGGGAAAATACAATGCGGAATTCACTTCTTTTTAAATAAAGTATAGATGTTTTGAGTGCAGTGACATTATGATTGGGTGGTGTCAAAGCATCTTTCTAGTTTGCTTCGTCATGCAAGAGCTGCGAACAAAAAGCCAAATTAGTGTGGAGAGGCTGCTTGGAATGACTTAAAAACGTATTGGTCTTCAAAAAAATATAAAATAATATCTAATCAGAATTCGAAGAATCGAGGATCCACTAAAGGGGGATCACTCCACACCACTGGTCGCGTCTCATACCTCGATGTAATTGAGCAAATGGTATGATTAACATTTAGAAAATAATTAATTAAATTCTTTTATTCCATATATACTATTCTTCGAGCAACTTTTGAGGCTTATTATGGATAGTCTGGAAATAACCTCTCTTTGTCTGTTTCTTTACCCTTATCTTCAAACGCCATTTACCGAAAATAACAAGTAATGACAGTTAACAATTTTTTCATATAATCCTATTCAGTACAATCTAGTTGATGGAATGCTGAATCTGTAGACTTTCAATGATGGTTCTACTTTAAGAATCTACTTGACCAGTCATATATATAAGCATTGCAGCAAGTCTGATCTGGAGGCTAAGAAAATTGCCAAGTCTGGAAAATAACATCTTTGTGTTTTTTTAATTTGAATAGTCATTGCTACTTTGTTTCTTTATTTTATATAGTCACTATTGCTTGTGTATCTTTATTTTAAAGAGTATAGAGAAACAACGTCCCGTGCAAGTGGATGAGGTCTTTCTAATCACTCGCCAACATAAGGATGGAAGTTGGGTTGATTCACACTCCATGAAAACATATGTAAGTACTTATTTTTTTAGAATATATTATAACTATTAAACATTCAAGTATATTAACATGTTATAATTTTTTTGTATTTCTAATTCAGAATACATTTCAAAAGAAAATAAAGGAGATTGCTGAAACTGAAGATGACTCTACAAGTGGCACAAGTGATGTTAACAGTAATAAGAAATTAGCGGTCAGGCAAGTGTATAGGACGGCTAATTTGTCATCAAATTTTACGCGTGGAGGAGCAACAATGTTCTACAATTCTCAAGAGTGTTGTGATTAGTGTTATCAATGGCCCAAATGGCGCGCGCCATAGATGCGCCTTTGGTGATTTGGATCGGAAACGCCACAAAGTGGCCTGTGGCGGTCGACTGACTTGTGGCAACACCAATTGTGCGCCATCGCCATTGTTGCGCCATATTTTTAATTTCACCTAGCTCAAATCCAATAAATTAGGCCCAATAAAGAAACTAATCCTTAAATTTAGTAGTCCCCAATTGCTCAATCTTCCCAATCGACGCGCAAAGTGAACCGCCACACGCCTGAATCGTCTTCTTCTTCATCGGATCTGGTCACAATTGGGACAGATCTGCGACTCGCCTTAGTCGATTCAAGAAAGAGGGGACTGTGAATCTGCGATTAACGAAAGAGGGGAGCGTGACATAGGTAATTCACTTTTAGGGAGTACTTCCTTTTTCTTTTTTTTAACACATTTGTATACTTCCTTTTTCTTTTTTAACTCATACAAGGTATTGCTTATTATACTTGGTTGGTTATACTGCCGATATGTTTGCTTGATTTTTCTGCCATAAGTTTTATTTTGGTATAATTTTTTTGCCATAACTTTTTTTCCTGACAATTTTTTTCTGCCATAATTTTATTTTTGCCTTAATGTTTTTTCTAGCATAGTACTTCTTGAAGAATGTCTGTCTCTATGGCTTGGGAACACTGCACGAAGCTCAAACCAAACTCGAGTAATGATTTAGGATGCAATTTTTGTGGTCGTATAAGCAATGGTGGGATTAGAAGATTTAAACAACATTTGATCGAAGGGCATCGTAACACAGTAGAATGTCCTACTGTTCTAGAAGGGTTGAAGACAAGTCTCCGAGACTTGGTTTTGAAAGAGGCGGGATCGAGCATCAACTAGTAATCCAATAGTTCAAGAAGTTGACGAAGATGAGATATTACCATTTTATATTCATATCTTAAATTTTGAGACTATATTTTAAGTTTGAATTACTTCTGTCTTTTGCTTAAGTTGTTTTACTACTAGCACCTTGGATCGTTTTGGATTTGGAATAACTTCTTATTTGTGTTTTTATTTCTAACATGACTATTTAGGTCAAGTATTCTACTGTTTTTTATTGAATTCAAGTCTTATACTGACCTTCTTCTGTCTCTAACACTTTCCTTCTTCTATCTCTAACATATACCTATGTAAATCTTAGTTATGTTGTGTGACTAGTGTCCCGTGGCAACGCCATATTTGCGCCATCGCCATCGCCATGAATGTCGCCATGCGCCATGACAACTATGGTTGTGATGATGAACTCAACACTCATGATGTTCGATTACAAAAAGAGCTTAAAGAGTTGCGTCATGCTCAAGAAGCGGAGCATTTAGCTCATGAGGAGGAGCATCGTGCACAAAAAGAAAAAATTGAACACATGGAGAAATCAATGGAGCTTATAGTATCACGTCTTGCAGCTATTGAGGGTCCAAAAAAAAGCGTCGTCCTCATCATTCTGACAAGAGTGCTCATGGCTTTCAAGGTTCGAAATGGCATTCTTCTTTATAAGGAGCTAAATATTTAGTGTGACTCTTAATGAAATGTTTTGACATTAAACTAATGTTTTGCAATACTTTTATAAGGTTCGAATTGTTTGAATTACTATTGTATGAATCGTAAAAGTGTTTCTTTGTGTTTTTTGGTGACGAATGACATTAAAGTGTTTACTTTAAAATATGTTGAATCTCCCTTTCAATATGAATATTTTGTTCATAGGAAATTCTATATTAAATATTTTAAAAATTAATAATTGTGTGGGTTAAGCCCTTGTTAGTATTGTTTTATATTTGAACTTTGGCAAGGAGTTACTCCACGCAAGATTTTGAGACAAATACCTGGACTGCTGATTTATGAGGGCCAATTTGACGCAAATTAGCAAAGGCTTTACCGACAAAAACAGGTCTGCATAATTGTGAGGGGATAGCAAACACTAATTAATATGGGTTTAACCAAAACTAATTACTATGGGTTTAACCGACACTAATAACCATGGGTTTAGCTGACACTAATTAGAAAGGGTTTGACCGACACTACCAATTAGTATCGAGCAAATTAGCCACGGCCCCGACTCCAACGCAAGTTTGACACAAAGCTTACTTTTGTGACGGTGTTTACCCTTTTGTGAGGGTTTTTGACCCACGCTAAATCAATATATTTTAGTATAAGGTCTTGCTTCTCTACTTTTGTCTCGCCGTTGAAACCCACAGCACTCTCGGGGGGTAGAAAGCCTAGAAGTCGTAGGAATAGATTGTTTCATAGTCTCTCTCCACAGTTAGGTTCAATCAGAAGCTAAGTGATTCGGTATATGAAAACACACTTGCATTTCTTTGAAATTCACACTTAATGTTATATTGTGATATCATACATTTACAGTGTTATGTTGAACCCAAAAGTAGTATCTACCTTCTAATTTTTATAAATCTCGTGACCCTCTTGAAAACGTCGATTGACAATAGTTTTAGTGAAGCCACTCAATGATTTGTAAAGGGGGACGAGGGTGGAAATACTTTCGAACCTAATAGGGAAATATACAACAACTTAGCAAAATTTCACAAAAGTGAGATTAGATGAGGAGGGTGAGTGTACGTTGTCAATATTGTTAGACAATAATACTAATAGTACTTCTTGTAATATTGGTTATGGTAGTGTTTCATTATTAGTCAGCTTCCTAATCCTATTTGTGGTAGATGTTGTATTTTAGTTAGACTTCATTCTTTATTCCTAGTTGTGTTGGGAGTCTCTCCTGTATATACTCTATCATGTACTCTATAATTCAATGAGCAATATTATTATTTCAATATTTCAACATGGTATCAGAGCCACCACTCTTAGTGACCTAAAAAAAGTTATTTGCTCCCACCGCCGCCTCCGATAATTCTGGCGACGGCGGCTCCACCCTATTCACCTCTATTTTCTTTTTCTTCTTTATCCTCAAATCAATTTTTCCATTCAAATGAAATAAAAGAAAAAAAAACCCTTGATGAAATCACACAAAAAAAACTATCAAAGGAGGAACTTCTCTCTTGTCATCTCCATGGTTCTTCAAAAAAAAACCCAACTCCTCACAAACTCTCTCAGATCATCCTATCTTCTTAAAAAAAGAAAAAAAATGATTGTTGTTTCTCTCCAATTCACCATATCAAAATCTCAGACCCAAATTTGTTTTTCCATCTCCAATTCTTAACCTACTTTTTCTCTCTAAAATCACTCATTCTAATCATCAACCTCCCTTCTCTTTCTCTTCTGTTGAACCAATAAAAATCCAAAGTAAATCAGCACAAAAGCAAAGCCAAGAGGGGAAGTAGTGAAAGAGGAAATAAGAGCTCTACAACTCACCCCTTCAAAAAGGAAATAGGGCATTTCCCGAATCCAAGAAAAAGACAAAAAATGTCAAGGATCTTCAGTCAAACAAGCACCTCCAGTAGCCTTCTCTATTCTTCTTCGACGTCAGCAGCTACAAGCGCACGCCAATTTCTCTCTTCTCCAACGACGTTAGCAGCTATCAGTGCATGTCAGACTTCTCTCTTCTCCAACGACCTCAGCAGCCACCGACGCGCGTCAGACTTCTCTCTTCTCCAAGGACGTCAGCATCCACCGGCGCGCGACACACTTCTCTCTTCTCCAACGACGTGAGCAGCCACCGGCGCATGTCAGACTTCTCTCTTCTCAAAGTTTCCTGTTTCCAGCTAGTGTCCAAGCTTCCTCTTGCTTCAGCCAGAGTTCAGCTTAAGGGGGGATGTTAGACAATAATACTAATAGTACTTCTTGTAGTATTAGTTATGGTAGTGTTTCATTATTATTCAGCTTCCTAATCCTATTTGTGGTAGATGTTGTATTTTAGTTAGACTTCATTTTTTATTCCTAGTTGTGTTAGGAGTCTCTCCTGTGTATACTCTATCATTTACTCCATAATTCAATGAGCAATATTATTATTCTAATATTTCAACAAATATCATAATATAATATTGGTCAGCAAACATTCAAGATTTTATAAATATACATAAACAATAGCAAAGAATTTGCTTTAATTCCCTAAAAAAAGAATTTGCTCGTGTTCTGAATAGTAAAAAAGGAGCATGCTACATGTACTCCAAAATTTGCACCCCATTTGTACACCAAAGGTATGCACTAAGATTTTGATGTTTCACACTGATATAAAGTGTTGGTGCGTTAATAAAAATTTACATTGACACAAAATGTTGATGCGTGAACAAAAATTAACATTACACCAATATAAAATATTGGTGCATCTCTACAGTATACAAAATAAAATACAAATTCTTGAGGTACAAATAGTTTTATACTAAAAGAAATAGAAAATGCATCAAACAAACTCAAGCAGTCAAGCGGAACATAAATTGATGAGAGTCAGGCCAACATTTCGCAATTTCGAATGTAATCCCATGACTGCTCAGAGGCTTTACACCGCACTCAAACTCCAGAAATCTCACTGTCACTCTTCTCTCCCAACTCTCTTGAACCAATGTCTTCTATTCCATTCTCGAACCAAAGGGTTTAGTGCAATATTTCAATCAATCTCTCAAATTCTGTCAAACAAGCATAAAGTAAATTCTCAAACTCAGAAAATCCTCAATAGAGCGCTTCTCCAAGATAAAAAGATGGAAGTAGCTCTTCTGTCTGCGAAAGCCCAAATTGTGAAAAGTTCCGACAACTCCTACCGAATTGAAATTTTGGATTCTCTAGTTCAGGGCCTCTGTGTGACAGAACCTGAAATTCCGTGTTCTGTTCTGCGGTATTGTTTGAGAATTGACGGTATTATGCCTTCTTCTAGTACTATTTACCTGTTGCTCTATCGTGTTTGCTCTCTTGGAATGATCGATGGGGCTATTCAGGTGTTAGAGCTGATGAGTGATAAGAGAATGAAGTACCCTTTTGATAATTTTGTGTGTAGTTTTGTAATTTGTGCTTTTATATGCTTTGGCAAGCCTGAACTTGCTGTAAGATTCTATGATAATGCTGTAAACTCGGGTTCTTTGAAGCCTAATGTTTACACTTGTACTTCTGTAATGAGTGCGTACTGTAGATTAGGTAGAATCAGTGACGTCTGGAGTTTGGTTGAAGTGATGGGGATAGATGGCTTAGCCCCTGATGTTGTGTTTTACAGTAACTGGATGTATGGGTACTTTAGGGAAGGAAGGGTTCAGGATGCTCTAGAGAGATACACCAAAATGGTTGAGGGAAACATTACATTGGACACAGTCAGTTATACAATACTTATAGATGGGTTTTCAAAGGAAGGGTTGGTGGAGAAAGCAGTAGGGTTCTTGTACAAGATGAGAAAGGATGGTTTAAACCCCAATTTGGTCACTTATACTGCAGTTTTGCAAGGATTTTGCATGAAGGGAAAATTGGATGAGGCATTTTCAGTGCTCAAGTTGGTTGAAAATCAAGGGTTTCAAATGGATGAGTTTCCCTATGTTATTCTTATTGATAGGGTGTGTAGGGAAGGTGATTTTCACGGTGCTTTTGAGCTGCTGGGTGAAATGGAAAAGAAGGGTGTAAAGCCCGGTGTTGTTACATACAATGCCATTATCAATGGATTGTGCAAAGTGGGAAGGACAAGTGATGCTGATGATCTTTCTAAGGGCATAGTAGGTGATGTTATTACATACAGTACATTGTTACATGGGTACATCCGAGAGGGGAATCTCATGGGGATATTAGAGACCAGAAGGAGACTGGAGGCAGCTGATGTATGCCTAGATGTTGTCATGTGCAATGTGTTGATTAAAGGATTGTTTTTGATGGGTTTACTTGAGGATGCCCGTTCTGTGTATGAAGGAATGCAAGATTCAGGTTTGGAGGCAGATGTTGGTACTTACTCCACCATGATTTATGGATATTGCAAGGCTGACCGGATAGATCTTGCACTTCAGATATTTGATGAATTTCGGACGAAATATACTTCTTCAGCAGTATGCCACAACTGCATTATACATTGGCTATTTAAAAAGGGTTTGGTAGAAATGGCAGTTGAGGTTTTCATAGAAATGATAGAAAGAGATTTTGACCTAAACACCACATCTTACATGATGGTCATTAAGACGATATTTCAAGACAAAGGTGCCGAAGGGGTTTTAGAATTAGTTCAAAGATTGGGAAAAGTTGTGCATGATATATCTGATCCAATATCTAATGATGCATTAATTTTTCTATGCAAGAGGGGTGCATCGCAGGCTGCATGCAATGGGTTAGTAGAATTAGAGAGAAGAGGATCAACTGTGAGAAGCAAGTCTTACTATCTAATTCTGAAAGCACTTCTTCATGATGGAAAATATTTCTTAAGTCACCAAATTTTGACAAGTTTCATAAAAAGGTATGGAATTTTTAATCTTGCCGTAAACAAGATAATCGTGTATTTCTTGTGCATGGGTGATGTAAATCATGCCATTAGCTTTCTTTCTAAGGGCTCAGTCACTGTTGGGTTTTCTGGAGCAGTTTTAAAGGCCCTGACAAAATATGGCAAGGTTATTGATGCTTATAGGCTTATAACTGAAGCAGGAAATAGTCTACCAGCCATGGACGCGGTTGATTATACGATTGTGATTGATGGCCTTTGCAAAGGAGGTCAAGTTCTCCGGGCACTACATCTTTGTGATTTTGCTAAGAGCAAGGGTGTTACTCTTAGTGTTGTCACATACAACTGCATTATAAATGGGCTGTGCCATCAAGGTTTTCTTCTTGACGCATTTCGGCTGTTTGATTCCCTGGAGAAGACTAATATTTATCCTTCAGATATCACATATGGGACACTCATTGCTACTTTATCAAAAGTTGGCCTTGTACAAGATTGCATTATGTTGCTTGAGAAGATGTTGCTCAAGAACATTCCCGTAAATATCCATATTTATAACTCCATAATTAGTGGGTATATTAAACTAGGTGAGGTACAGAAAGCTGTGGAGCTTCTCCGTGACGTGGAAACAAATGGTTTCAAGCCAGATGAATTTACAGTCAGTGCAGTTATTAATGGATACAGCCACAAAGGTGACATGGAAGGAGCTCTTAGTTTTTTTGCTGAATTTAAAGATAAAAACATATTACCTGATTATTTAGGTTTTATGTACTTGATTAGAGGGCTATGTGCTAAGGGAAGGATGGAAGAATCTAGAAGCATTTTAAGAGAAATGCTTCAAAGTGAACATGTGAGCAATATACTTGACAGAGTGGATGCTGGAACTGAAGCTGAGTCTGTACAAAGTATTATTTCTTTGTTGTGTGAACAAGGAAGCATCCGCGAGGCTGTGAATATTCTTGACAAAATTGGATGCATGCATTTTCATTTTGAGAGGGAATGTACTGCACTTAATATATCAGAAAGGCTAAATGAGCCATATGCTAGGAAAGCTTTGGAGAGCATTGAATTCAAGAATAATGTTTTGGAAAGAAAATCGTGCAGCGAAGGGGAATTAGAAACAGATTTCGAAAATGATTCGCGCTCAGATCGGAGTAATATCTTCCATCCGGAGAACTTTGATGCTTACTATTCTTTGATTGCGTTGCATTGTTCTAAGGGGGAGCTCAGTAAAGCAAATGTACTTGCAAAATGCATCATGAGTTCCTCGTAGGAAATTTATACTTACAGCAAAATGTATTGTCTACCTTTGCTAGGCCACAAGTATTGGCACTTCGTCTGTTGCACAAATGTGGCAGGTATGATGATATATTGATATGTGCTCTTTTCGAGATTTGTTCAGTTTTCTTATCCTTTAATAAGTTTTTTACTAATTTATGAATGACTTTTATAATCGATAATAATAGGCTCTTCTATGATCCTTTTGTTTAGCTAATCAGTTTCATTTATACTTGGCTAATTTTTAGCCTAGCAAAGTGAAATACATTCTGTGTTTCTACACATGCCATTACGTACGCCATTGGCAGATTTCCTTTGTTACATTGTTCATACTTTTATTTTCTTCAGGAAATGCTAGCTACATGTATACCACACACTTACACGGAAAGTTTTGAACTGCGCACCCAAATCTTGTATGTTTTAAAATTGTCCATGTAGTTCACAGTTGTCTTTTCTATAGGTAAATCTTTCTCTGTAAGAAACATTTGTGTAACCTACTTTCTGGAAATTATTGACATTGTTTTTTGACGCCAGGCTATCATGACTCATGTGCACACTTTTGTTATTTTCTGGGTTTTACTTCAAACCAAATCTACCGCTACAAATTCAGAGCATTCAACGTAGCGAACAGCAGACACAATGTTCCTAGAGCAATCTAGAAAGACTCATGGTCTATGGAGAGTTACGAATTTGCACAAAGCAAGACACATACATCCATAAAGGAAGACAATGATAAAAGCAGCAGCAGACCCTCAAAAACAAAGTAACAAACAAGAGGCTAGCTAAGCACACCAGAAACAAACCATTCTCGAAATAAAAGAGCAAAGAACAATATAAAGCTAAATCTTTGGGACCAGAGCTGCTAGGATGAGAGGTGGAAGAAGGCCGAGGAAGAACTAGGGGGGCGCTAGAGGAATGCCGGAAAGAAGCGCTTGACTTCGGGAGAGGCTTTGGCTCTTAAAAATATATCTCCATTTCAGGTTAATGGTAATGCTCCATGAGCTCGCTTTTGAGTTTTGAGAAAATGGAGTACCATTTTGTATTAGTACTAGTTTCTACTCTCTAGGCGGTAAGAATGACATTTATCATTGGGTCCATAGTTTTAAGAACCAGATTGGACCGGCCGGTTCAGACCGTGAACTGGCGAACCGGTGGTCCAACCGGTCCAGTCCAGCCCCTTGGACCGCAATCTGCTTCGAACCATTACAAACCGCCGTGAACCGATAAGAACTGGCTAGCCGAACCAGGCTATTTTTTTTTTGCGATTTTTTTCCCAAAAACGTATCCCATAGGGGTTCGAACCCAAAATCTCTTAGAAATTAAATTATGTTCCAAAGCATCCAAACTAGAGTGTTTTCGTGTTACAAGTTCACTTAATATTTTTTAATATTTCGTAATTAATAAAGAAATTGTATAAATAATTCTTTTCATTTTAAAAACATTAAAAAATATAATATTATAGCTATGATTCAAACTCAAAATCACTGATATAATTGATACTATTACAAAATGGATATTATGTAAAGATTTCGTTTGCGTGTTTTTAATATTAGACAATTTATTTGAAAAAAATAAAATCAATTCTTCGTTTATAAAATTTTTAATATTGTTTTTAAATATGTAAATTTTATTTTTAAACTTAGTAACATAAGTCTAGTAAATTAATATAATTTTTGTCAAATGTTATAAATTATTTACTCTAGGAATTTATAAATGAGGGAGTGTGTGTGTCTGTCTGTGTGTGTGTGTGTGTGTATAATGTTTAAATCACTGGTCGACCAGTGACCCAGTACCTGAACCGGTTCGGTCGACTATGATTGGGTCTTTTACCTGGGACTGCAGTAAGTTCCGAAGAGATGCTCTCAAGTATATGCACCTCTTTTGATGACATGTGGATTTTGTGAAGTGCAAGTTTTTTGTTTGAGTTAAATGAGGGGTTATTAACATTCCACTTGTTGTTACTCCGTACTTGATAGGGACCGTTAGCTTTCTACTTGGTTTGTTTTTTGTTTTTTTGGATTCTTTAACTCTTAACTTGTCAATGGATCTTTCTGGAAGCTTATGGAGCCACTCACATGCTAGGCTCTCCAAGGTCGCCAAAAAATAGCAGAAATTAGGGGGGGTTCAGTCGCCAATTCTGTTCATGATACGCTGGGCTTCCTCGTTGGCTATGATCGGCAAGCGACGATCGCCGCTAGCATCACTTCCTTTCCCCTCAGCATGGGGAGTTGCTTACGACGTGATTAGCGTTGCTTCTTGTTTGCACCATTTTCCGTTCGTTGTGGTTTGTCTCAAGCGTATTCTTTCAAGCTCTCAATGGAAAGACCAATTTAATGAAAATGAACTCCACTTGATGATCTGACCCGAATTGCTAGATCAAATTAACAATGAAAAAAAGTAATGAAAGGAGTAAAACCTTGAGAAGATGACAATGATGGCTTGGTATTATATTGGTGAATTAAGTGTGCCTTTGACATTGAATCAATCCCCTATTCGTAGGTCCCCCATTAGGGTTGCACAAGGAAGAAGATAAACATGGAAGGTTTAATCTCGGCCCCCTGGTCTTCCTCCGCAATTGCAGTGACAACTGTAATCTTCTCTAAAGATCACAACAACTGCACGCAATCAACGCGATCCTTTCGAAACGAGGCCCTCGAGTGCAGCATTGCTGCTACCCAGCTATCATCTTCTTCGAAATTAGGTTTTTTTCTTTTCACCCTTAGTAAAAAACGACATCGTTTTAGGTGGGGTTTTTTTAAATTAGAGCTCTAAATATCGTTGTTTAGGGCTGCGTAAAAAAACTATCGAATTCATTTGTTGCCTTCTTTGTACACGGTATGAATCATGAACCACGGTTTAGCGCCTCAACTTGGTCTTCTTGCTCTGCAGTTTAGTGCCTCAACTCTAATCAAAACGTGTCGTCGCCCGCCCATAGTTTAGAAAACTGGACCGGGCTTGCCGGTTCACACTGAAAACCGGCGAACCGGTCCGGTCCAGTCCATTGAACTGCATCGTGTTGTGAACCAGTTCAAACTAGTGTGTGTTGAATAAATTAGTTATTTTAATTAATTCTGATCATTTAAATTAGTATTTATTAGTCTTTATTTGAATTGGTCTTTATTTGAATTAGTATTTGGTCTTTAACAATCTCCTAGTTTTTAGGTCTGTTGGGGATTAGTGGTATTGTGGTGTTCATGATCCTATTATTTAGGAGATTTTAGACTATATATTCAACTTGATGTTTACTGATTTTGTATCAAGAAAATCTGAAGCAATAAACGTTTACCTCTTCTAGTAAAAACTCTATTGCCTCAATTTTATTTAGTACTCAGTCTTATTTCTCCTAAGTGTCAGTTCATCAAATTGGTATCAGAGCCTAAACGGTCTGTTATCAAGAATACCACCCAACTATTTGTCCCAATCCTTGAGAAAGATGGGAAGAATTACAACCGTTCGAGTGTCCAGATGAAAGTTTTGTTCGACTATCATGACCTGTCAGACGTCGTGAATGATGGAATGACTGAATTGGCTGAAAATGCAACTGAGGGGCAACGGACAGCTCATCGTGACCTGAAAAAGAAGGACAAGAAGGTACTATATTTCATTCACCAAGGAATGAACGAAGAAACATTTGAGCAGATTGAGGGAGCTATTGCCGCGAATGAAGCATGGAGCATTTTGTCAGCATCATACAAAGGTGATGACAAAATTAAGAGGTTATCCCTTCTAGTTTCAAAACACAAAATTTCCATCCTTACCATTATTGAACCTAAATCCCAACTTAATAACCTTCCCAACCTGCAACTTGAACTGGGATTCTCCAACTCCATCCATAGTTCAAGTAACAGAATCTGGATATTGTGGAAGAATGAACATCTCACATATATCAATCACACAGACTTGGGGAAAATGATTAATGTTCTCTTCCAGTGTCATCAAACAAAAGAAAATATCTTATTCTCTGGAGTTTATGGCAAACACACCAGGGAAGATAGAAAAGATCTTTGGGAAGCTATCAACATCAGCAATCAAAACAATAATAATTGCTGGATTCTTGGAGGGGACTTTAATGCCATCTCAACATTGGAACATCACAAAGGGAAAAACACTCCATGCCTCAACAGCATCCAGGATTTTGATAACTGTATCATGGACAATGGACTCTATACTCCCCCTTTCACTGGAAACCTGTTTACATGGACAGGAACAAGATCGTTGGGCAGAGTCTAGAAAAGATTGGATAGGGTCTTCACTAACTCTATTTGTCAGACACATTATGCTAGCATATCAAGTCAGCATCTCTCTAGAGGAAACTCTGATCATTGCCCTATCATCATCAAAATGAACAACCCTAGCTTCAAGGGTCCTAAACCTTTCAGATATCTAAACTGTTGGGCCAATCATCACTCCTTCAGAAATATTATTCACGACAACTGGGGTGACTATAAAGGAGGAGGGATGAGAGGGCTGATGGTCAAACTCTCCAAACTCAATACAGCTCTCTACAATTGGAACAAAAACACCTTTGGAAACATCATAACCAAAGTGCAAGATTTAGAGTCACAACTACAAGAGGCAGAAAATATTTTTGATGAGAATCCCAGCATGGAAAATAGGACCCTTATGAATGAAACAAGAGCACATCTGATCCAAGCCACTAAAAATGAATTCCAGTACTGGAAGCAAAAAGCTGAAATCAAATGGCTTAAAGAGGGTGACTGCAATTCCTCATACTTCCATGCAATTTTGAAAGAGAAAAGACACTTCCAAACAATCCAGAGAATCAAAAACAACCAAGGAAAATGGATAGAAAACAATAAAGACATTCAACAAGAGGCTGTTAACTACTTCAGTCATCTTTTCTCTTGGGAAATCAGTGAGGGACATGAACAATTCCTCTCAAACATTCCAAACCTGGTCAATGAAGCTGAAAACCAAACCCTCATCAATCTACCCTCCGAGGAAGAAGTCAAGGATGCAATATGGAATCTTGACCCTAATAGTGCAGCTGGACCTGATGGTTTTACAGGAGACTTTTATAGGCAAAGTTGGGATATTATCAAAGAAGATGTAACAAGGGCTGTCCAAGAATTCTTTTTAGGTATTCCCATTCCTAAAACTCTGGGCAAATCTACTATCATCTTAATTCCTAAAAAAGAGAATCCTACAACTTTTGAGGACTTCAGGCCCATTTGCTTATCTAATTTCATAGCTAAAATTAACACAAAAATTTTAGCAATGAGATTGGGTAAACTTCTGCCAAACCTAATCTCCCCAGAACAAGGAGGTTTCATCAAAGATAGACAAATACATGATCAAATACTGACAGCCCAAGAACTTATTCATGGGATCAACTACAAGACAAGAGGGGGAAACCTTGCTATTAAACTGTATGTCTAAGGCTTTTGATAGAGTATCTTGGGATTTCTTAGAGATGATTTTGAGGAATTTTGGGTTCTCAGAGAGGTTCATCACCTGAATCCTCAATAACCTCAAATCAACTACACACTCCATCCTGATTAATGGATATCCTAGCAAGAACTTCCAACCCAAAAGAGGTCTCAAACAAGGAGATCCTCTTTCTCCTCTCCTTTTCATCCTTTCAGCAGAAA